GCCGCGGCCCCCCGCGCCGCCCGGCCCCGCCAGCTCGGGGGCGGCGCTGGCTCCGCCGGCCCGGGACGCTGTTCGGCAGAGAAGCCTCGCGCGTCTTGGCGGCCGCGGCGGGGAGGCGGTGCCGGGGGCTCCCGGCCTTGCCTGGGGGCCCGGCGTCGCTTTTGGCCGCTCCGTGCCGCCCTGGCCGCGCCCCGGCCGCTCGCGGCCGCACCAGGCCCTGTAGTGGCGAAAGTGCCCGGGTTCTGCCCAGGGCGCCCCACAGCGGCGGACGGGCAGGCGGGCCCGCGCCGGCCTGAGCAGGGTCGCTCGCGCAGCCGGCGCGGAAGCGGCTGCTGAGGGACCTGCCACCCCTTCCCTCCTCCCCCGCCGCACGGCGAGTTGTAGCTTCCTGGCAGCCTCTGGTGCCCTGAAAGTCTGCGGACAGATAGCGCTTGTGCTTTGTTGCATTGTAAATGGTTTGGTTTTATTTTTTCCTCAATAGTGAGTTTTAGTTCTTGGGCCAGGAAGGTGGCCAGAATGGGATTCTGGTATGAGATCCTAGTAAAATGCCTTGGAAGGCAGCGTTTTCTGTGCTAGGCCTGAAAGTGTATTTCACACCTATTAGCCTAACCAGAGCAAAAGGCTGCCCCTTCTCCCCGTGTAGTGCCCTGGCATCCTAGATTTGCAGTGGTACGGATAGTGTTTTTAGCTTTCCCCCCCCGATTTGCTTCTCTTCACAAATGTATGTCAGTTGTTTTTCCTACAGCTGTTTCTTTTTGTCCCTTTCTATGCACTGTACTGGTATCTTTTGTTTTATTTGCGTATCTCACTCTCCTGCCAAATTCTGTCTTTTGCCCACTCATGCGCACTGTGGCATTTGGCAGAGGAGCTGAAAACTTCACTGGACACCTGGGAGCTCAGGGAACACAGGAGGCTTTTCTGAGGCAGTGTGTGGTGTAGGCTCCTCTTGTTCCTTCCATGACAGGAGAAAGAAAGTATTTAAATTTCTATGTTGTGAAGGAGAAAAGAAAGATTGGGGTGATTCTATTGCGAAGGGGTCCAGTTTTTATCTTTTTCTATATTATCTGACTTTTAGTTTTCTTCCTTGTTTGATAGAAGGAAGAAGAACATTCTCTCGTGTTGTTTCTTTTTCTTTTTTCTTTTCTCCTTTTCTCCTATAGCTGGTACAGTGGGAATAGACAGGTCTTTCAGTACCTTTTCTTGCTCTATCCTGGCTGGAGACTAAGGAAGATAAAATGTTCTGATTCTTAGTATTTTTTTTGTGCACAGAGCTCTGAGTTAGCGTCAGGAAAGCTAATGACAGTGGTAAGTTTGACATGCAACAGTGTGGGAGGATGGTAAGCTGCAACAAAGGGATCAGAGTTCTCAGTTAAAAGTTGTGCAGAAGAACCTGCTCTGGTTAATGCAGCTCAGGTTTGGAAAGCTGCTTTTCAAAGAGAAGTACTAACCAAAACCTTAGTTCTCTCAAGTAGCAATCATCCAGAAAAGATTCTCGTGACTTTTTTTGTATGAGTATTTATGTTATTATGGAGTTGGCAATCCATATAACTTCAAACTATGCTTTGGAGGTGGGCTGTCTGTGTTTTTAATAACAGAGCAAAAAATTCTTCTGTGTGAAAGTGACATTAATTTGTTCTTTGGTGTGTTCTGGGGAAAATTGTCTTATTTATCTTGGTAGTAGTATTACTTTATTGGATGTGGGTTTTGAAGTTAATAAAGTAAATACATAATGAGTATCATCAAATCTAGCCTAGGTTGCTGTTATTCAAAAGCCAGAGTTGTAGTGTGAGTGCAAATGAATCTCTGCTGACAGTACAAGGTTTTTGGAGCAAGAATGCTTTCCTCCTCCCCTCTCTCCTGTGACTGCAAATGGTACTGTCACCTCCTCTGAGTTGGCCTCTCATGATTTGGTTTTAAGTGGTGTTTTTTTTTTTTCTTTTTTTTTTTTCTTCCCCCTCCTGCCCCAACCCTCCCTGTTGTCGTTCTGTAGTTTATGTTACTTTCTGTTGCACTTATTCCCATCACATAACCTGGGCATATCTTCTTCCCATTTCTGTACAGCAGATGTTATTCAGTTCTGCTGGAACAAGGACAGTTCTGTTACTGATTTTCAGTGGGAGCTGGGTCATGCTTTAATTATGCAACTTTCCAAAAGTTACTCTTGCTTGAGAAGTGAGATTGCTTATGCCTCAGTTGTGCTGCAGCACCTTCATTCATCTGTTTTTAGGTTGTTTGTTTGAAAATACATGTTTCTGTAGTCGTGAGTTGCTTTTTAGAATGAGCCAAGTTGAGAGTTTTGCATCCTGCTTTTAGCGGGAGCTATGACTAGGCACATAGCTTATTTGGATTGAAAATTGGGAAACGTTTCCCCAAATGGTGAAGATGTTCTGTGACAATTCCATGAGCCTCAGCAGATCTTGCGCCTTACTGTTTCCAGAATTGAAGAATAAAGAGTAATGGAACTTAAAAGTTTTGTGGCTGGTCCTTTTTATTTTTTTTTAAAGTTGCTTAATAAGATTGTTAGATTTCATTACTGTATTGAACATGTGGGTTTAATATTTTAAGAGATATGCTAACATTTCTAAATAGATTACAGAAGATAGGATTTCAACTCATTTGAATGTTTAAGGCTTTAACTACATACAATTCCTAGTAAATTACTATAATTTAGCTGAAACACTTGGGAGTTGTTTACCTGTGGAGTTTTGGCAATATTTGATGTTGCTTGCAAAATTAATACAAATTTTTGGTTATCAACTATATTTGAGAATTATGGTGTTCTAAGGGAGATCTTTAGCAGAAGTCTTTAGTTAAATCTCTTTTGGCATGCTGACCTGTGTAAAAACTGAAAATTTGAAACAACATAAGTTTAACTACTGAAAGACTGTATGACAGGAAAAAAAAAAAAAAAAGGTTTTAAATATTGATTTCTCCTCTTCCTACCCTTCATGGGTAATAATAAAATATTTTCAGCTGTGTATAGTGTAATGAGTTGGATAAGGAAAGAAAACTGTCTTTATTGTGCAGGGCAAAAATTCATGAGTAACAGAGGAAAGATAACTGAGCTTTCATGCAGTTCAAAGAGTGGAAAGAAAAACTGAGATTTGAATTTTATTTTTTTATTTTATTTTATTTATTTATTTTGTAAAGATACCATATTTCAGAACAGTTTGGCCTTGATACAAGTTACCCAAAGAGTGAGGCCTTGGAAATGAGAAAACAGACTTAGCGGGTTTGAGGAGTTTTGTATTTAACCTACCAGATTTTGTAAATATTAACTGTAAGGTTCTTTCCAGGTATTCATGAACCATTCCTGCATTCTGGAGCTTGCAATTAGTAAAGAAAAGTCAGAGGAAAACTACTGATGTAAACAAAATGAGGAAAGGAATAATTACTGCTAAAACTTGCCTTGTCATTTATATTAATGTGTAAAGAATAAACACAAGCTGTACTGAGGGAGAATGCAGAATGTTAGTTAATCCTGAAAAACAAGACCTGCCCCTAGGGAAGTTCTAAGCTGCTTTTAGCCAGCTGAAAT